GTTGAGAACTCTGGATGCGTGTGCAACTTTTCTGTAGAAACTGTTATGTGACATTCAATAAATCATAGAATTTTTACGCTTCATTATTCAATATTTGATCATCTTCATGAACTCTCTCAACAAAGTGGGCTTTGCTTGCATCAAAATTCATATATGTTAAGATTGTTTTCCGTTGGAGGGATAGAACTTAATGATACACTAACATGATCATATTGAACATTTGATTTATGCTCACCATGTGCAGTCCAATACCAATAGTTAGGTTGGAAACCATACGATACAAATCTAACTTGACTTTATCAGGTGTTAGATATACTTGATTTTTGTTCTGTGCACATGAGAATCAAAACTTACCTTTTAAAATATAAATTTCTATACACTGTTATTTTGTCTTCTACCTGTAATTTTGTATTTCTTGCTTGCAATTCATGACTTCCACCGCAAGAATTACTCCTATGCTCCAGATTTCTGTTCTTTTTCGGTTTTTGATTGTTACTGTAGTTGGATGCGAGAAGATTGCGACTGCATTAAGGAAGAGAACTAATGAAAAGTTACCTTTTATATATTGTATATATGATGTAAGTTGTGCTTATGTGTACAACAAAAGAGTCCTTGTTGATATGTTTCATAATTTCAGCCAGTATTTCAATAAAATATTGCATTCGTTTCCCGTGGACGTCGGTCAGTTGACCGAACCACATAAATTCCCGTGTTCCCTTATCTTTACATTTCTTGTTTGGTTTATTGCTTGCAACGTGTTTATATTTATTCTTTCATTTATTTAGCAATGTTTAAATTCGTTATATTAATTCATCTTGTGGGTTATTTTTTTTGTGATATTATTAGCATGACTAATAAAAACAAAAAGGTTGCCACTCCTGCACTTTGGGAGAAAGACACCAAAATAATATTCCGTGACCTATGCATATGTGAAATTGATAAGGGAAATAGGCCAACGACATTTTTCAATAAAGAAGGTTGGGATAACATCGTTAGCAAATT